CTGTAAAGAAAAACTTATATAATCATACTGATTTGTACTTTTTTTTTAACAGTGGATGCATAAATAAGCAAACACATGCACACCCCACCGAAAAAAAAAATCAGTTGTGTGAAATGAACATACTGGCCGCCACCCATTATTAACGCTGCACTCCCCTGAGAGAACAAACAAATGCAACATCCACCAACACCAGCAGCTCAGTTTCTTACAACCAAATTAACAAACAAAAAGCAAATAAACAAACATTTATCTGGAATCCATTACAGTCAATGCAGTCAGCCAGGTGTTATGTCACCATAATAAGGCATAAAATAAAGGGTAACTATCCACTCTTCTTGTCTCCAGAACAAAGGATGAAATTCTAGAGACTTGATGAGAATAAAATGTACCTGCTGACTGATGGCGTGGAATAAAACTGAAGAAACTGTGTGGTCACACTTCTCCCTATAGACTCATGTTTAAGAAGAAAACAGAAACAGTTCACATAAACGACCATAATCTACTCATTAGGAATTAAAATCTATCCAGTCAAGATGTTGATGGCTGCCTATTCCAGTTACCAGGTGAGAAGATGTCAATTAAAGAAACCCAAGTGACCTTGTTTGAAATGCTAGACATTCCGGGACAACACTGTGAGTAATTCTTTAATAAAGAGTTTAATGTTTCAAACATAATAAACCATGACAATGCTTTTAAAATTCTGTATCAACGCTGCAAAATACAAAAACCCAACAAAATTTCCAAGAAAGCTTTAAAATAAAAACAACCAGGTTTTGCAATAAGGTGCTCTTACATTATATCCCTGAAATAATGTAGATCATGCTGCCCTCTTGTGCCAGATGTAAAAAATAAAATGAATTCTGCCTATGCAAGGAAAACATGATTTACATTTAAAACAGAAATCATCTCAATTTCTGAATGTTTTACAGTCACGTACCGCACAACAACATTTCAGTCAACAACAAACTGCATATACAACAGTGGTCCCATAAGATAGTAACATAGAGCCTAGGTGTGTGGTAGGCTACACCATCTAGTTTGTGTAAGTGCACTCTATGATGTTCGCACAATGATGAAATCGCCTAATGACAAATTTCTCAGAATGGAGCCCCGTCGTTAAGTGATGCACAGCTGTCCTGTTGATATGTGTTACCTGTGTTATTAAGATCTGATAGAACTGAAATGGGGCTAGGATAGAAGACTAATGTTGACTATGAAGTGGCAGATGCAGCGAACAGCACAAGGATGCAGATCACATCTGAAAAGGCATTATTCAAGTCAAGGTGCACTCAAAATGCATAGGAAATGTTGGGCCGCTGAAAACGTGTGGCTCTTTAACAGACATGCACAATACTGTTACTCAAATACACTGAAGGAGAAAAGGATAAGACAGACAGATGGGTGAGAGGAAGGAAAAAGAAAACTAGCTTTTGCCATTCTAAGGCCACACACTAGTTCATTCCAATTTTACCCAGATAGCTTAAGATTTACAGGGTTTTGAAAGATCAGTAGACAATAAGATACCGCACTACACAAACTAAACTTCATGCAGCCCAAATTTCATGAGTTCAAAATGAGGGAACTAAGTCACGCAGCGTGGAGAGTTGGAACCTTCTTAAAAACCAGCTCTCTGGAATGGTTAAACTGCAGTCAGAGAAGCTTTGCTATGGAGAAGAAACAAGCACTTTTCTGGGTTTACCTTGCCCTTATCCTTAAATCCAAGTATGTGAAACCTGGGCCTTCAGTGGGGCAGTGGTGTTTCAGGACCCTCCACTGAAGGCCTGGTTTTCCGCATCAGTGCAAAGGGTCACCCATCAGGTAACAAAATGCATGAGGATCTGGGAGGAAGCATGAGAAGGGAGACAGCACATCTGGGGTGGGAGCACCATGAATGAACATAAAAGGCATTTCCACAATCCAGCTCAGGATGACTGAGAATGTTCCAGCGCAAGTGGGAACTGAAGATGGGTAAAGAAAAGCACTCTGAGAACCTCTGCAATTCCAAGCCAGGGTGCGGTTCAGGCCTGTCCAGTGGGCCTCTGCCTGGAGTTTCTGGTTTCTGTACCAGTCATCACTCCAAGTCTAGTTTGCTGGAAACTACACATTGGCAAAAGTTATTCCTGTCCCCTCAGTTTTCTAAAACAGGGCAGGTTGTCAAGATCCTGAGCTCATAGGACACTTATGCACCCTGGTCCCCCTGAGAGCATGCTCTGAATAAGGAAGTGTTGAGAAGGCAAAGATATGCTTCCTGACCTCTTCATGCTGCTCAGAGAACACACTCTGTGACTCAGGGGCCGCAGCATTATGCAGGGCACTTGCATACATTTAATGTAGATATTTAATTGTGCATGTCTGCCTCTCTACTCTGGAGGGGAATTTTTCTATATATTATATAAGCACTAAAGTATGTACAATCAATGATGTCAACTATGAGGCATAATTCATAGTTTTGGCTTGTTCTTCCCATTGCAAAAAGTGCACAAATTTTATCCAAATGGAAACTTAAAATCTACCACTTAAAATGTATTTCCATTAAAAAAAATTTTTAACCACTGAAAGAGTAAATAATTCATGGCCCCTAAACATTTTGGGCAAACTAGGCCTATCTTTGGAGTACTTCATTTGGTCTTCTATTTTCTTGAAGGAATGAAGTCCTACTAATAGATATAGGAGGAGGAGGCAAGAGAACACGAGGGTGCTGCTCGAAGATTAGTGCCCTCAAAGATTGAGACTTGGTCCCAAATCCTTAAATAATAAATAAATCAGTACATGGAGAAGCCTACGGGTCTTGAACACGAAGAGCCTGGTTAACTGCGGTCATGAGCATTCAGAGGCTGTAATAACAGAAATTCAGTCCCACTTAATGCTCCAAACTTTATGACAGTAGTTTTCAAATTAACTGGCAAAGTGGAGCAACTCTATAGCTGTAATAGTACGTAAGTGCTCCAATCACTTTCTAACCACAGCTATAATAAGACCATAGATTTGTTGTGGTCCTCTGCAGTTTACAATTCCTTGCACTTCGCAAAGTGCCTGCACTAAAAAACATTTGTTGAATAAATCTACGCAAGATGCTTTCCAGAACAGTCTTATCTAATCCTCACAACAGTCCTGTGAAACAAGAAGGGCAACAGTTATTAGTTCCATTTCACAGGTTTTCAGATATCATGTTGTCATCATTGCTAAGAATCATTTGACTCTGATATGTACTAAGCACTGTGAATGGATTAACTTGCTTAATTCCTACAATATCTCAATAAAGTAGGTGTAAATAGTATCCCTATTTTATGGATTCGAAAATTGAGGCACAGAGAAATTAAGTAACTAGTACGTAAGTATTAATATAACTATACCCAGTTATTACTGTTAGTAACTAGCACCAGGACTGAACCTAGGCAGTTGGCTCCAGAGTCCACACTTTTAACCACAACAACCTCCTACCCTGAGATTCTGCCCAATAGTATCTGCATGCTTTTGCCTTGGTCACAAGGCTACTTAATGACCAGGCCAAGGCTACTCCTGTGCTCCCTCCAGCCCACCTCCCTGCCTTGACAGACCCTGTTGATTATTGATGTGGAATAAGGCTGCCCCAGCTAGAGAAGCCCAAGGTGACCTGGCCTACATGCCAAACTATACGACCCAGTGGACTTTTTTTTATGGTATGAATTAGGACCGCCCCAGGGAGAGAAGCCCAGGGCATCCTCACCTACATGCCGATCTATATGGCCAGATTCGTATCTAAAGTTATATGACCGCACAATAACCAGACCCCATCTGCACTGAAATCATTTAATGACTTTTTACATCATCTTTTCTTTTCTCCAGTAAAAATAAGTCACGTACCCATGCCTTATAAAATTAGCCCTAACCCTCAACTCAGGGCAGCAGCAGGAGCTCTGACTGCCCGTGGGTCTTGTCCCCACACACCACCTCTGCCTGCCCATGGGTCCTGTCCCCATGCCAGCGGGGGCAGCAGCAGCGGCTCTGCCTGCCCATGGGCTCTGTCCCCATGCCAGCGGGGGCAGCAGAGGCAGCAGCAGAAGCTCTGCCTGCCCATGGGTCCTGTCCCCATGCTATTCCACACTATTCTCTAAATAAAAGAGCACTACTGCCAGATCTTGAGAGTCTAAGAAATCTTTCTTTCGACTCCTCGGCTCACCGATCCCGCATCAATTATCACCTGCACAAACAAAGCCACCCGGGGCCTCACCACAAGTCTAACCAACTGACCAGGTGGCGACACACGTTGTTGAACTGACTCTTCAAAGGGACCCAGGTCAGGAGGCTACCTGCAGAAGCAAGACAGGTGAAAGGCTTCAAGGCAGAGGCATCAAGAACTTGGAAACCCCTGTGACCCTCACAAGATCCACCTGGCAGGCATGACAAAGCCTCTAATGTGTAACCAAAAGTCTACTTTAAAATTATTGAGTTAAACACTTTTATTGAAGAGGATGCTTACATTTCACCAATCCTGGATTTTAATTAATTTTTCACTACCATTTTAGGTAAACCTCATAGTCAGGGCACATGCAAGAGCTCTGTGATTCCAGAAATGGATGGGCAACGAAAGAAAGAAACACCCAGGCTGTCTCGTGTCAGACAGGTTCCTTGTAAGAAGGTCATTCCTAAAGGATGGCCTTGCTTAACGCTGTGATACAGCCAATGTTTTAGCAACTAGCCAGCCACGTTTAAAGATGTTTGCATCAAATGCAGGGTGTTTCCTATGCCACACAACAAATGGATTCCTAAATCATTCTGCAAAGTAAACATTCATTTATTTTTCCACACACACATAAATTGGAATAAAAGCTTGTATGCCCCCTCTATTCAGATTTCCTCTGGTAGGAGAAAAATATCAACGAAGCTTTTTGGAGAAAATGAATCAACACGCAGAGTGATTTTCTTCCAAGCATCTCCTCCATTTTCAAATACTGAAATGTAATCAGATACTAAACGTGTTAACAAGACATATTTACGGAGAAACTCAGTGTCTGACTTACCTATTGGATTTCTATCAAAGAACAATACCGGAGCTTTCAAAATGGACTCAAACATTCTGTTGTGCAAAGTTTGTGAAGAATTAACAAGGACGTAGAATACCAACAGAGCTCTCACTATGCCAAAAAGGACGGTAGCTACAGTTAAACCTGAAATAAAGAAACATCACTCAGAGACACTGGATCTCTGCCTTCTCTTCAATTACGCTAAAGCATGTCAGGCAGTTTTATAAAGACATTGTATATTTTATTCCATAAAGTATGTGAAGTCTATAAGAGTTTAATGCATTCACAAAATGCATTTATAAAGAAGAATATAAAATAACTTATTTCTCTCATTAAATAGAAACTACATGGAAAATTACCAAAAGTACTTGATCTTCCCGTCTCCATATTCCAAATCTCACTATTTACAACATATCCCATGGTCTAAAATTGTGATATGTTTTGATATCAGCATGGGATATTAATAGGAAACGGGAGAAATGATTTACCATTTCCTTGCAGAAAATGCCCAAGTAGCTTTAAAGAATATGAAAATACCATATTAAGTTGCACATAGAAAAATCTCTTAAATAACTGAAATGCAAGAAAACACAAATTATATTTTAACATGAGATAATTAATCTAAATGAGCAACTAATCTTTCATTAAGGGTTTTATATAAATATAAATCATTTTTAAATGCATATATTCATTTAAATTGTTTCATTAATGACATAAATGAATATCAACTATGCACATAAAATTTAAAATAGTTCTCCTAACACCTCTTGATCTCACAATGCTAAATAGAGTGGGGATAACCTCTGTAATAAATATTCCATCATGTACTTTTCCCCCTTCCAATGATGCATCACTGTTATTTAAACTCTGAAAGCCGCTCAAATTCCTAAATTCCCTCAAGGGCATTTTCCTTCGCCAGCCATCCTCCATAAATGTAGAACAGCACCATTTTCCTTCTCCCTTTAGGTCTCGCATCGTCCACCAATTTGGAAGGTAAACAGCTAATGGATTTGGATTTCTTAGCAAGCGATCAAGGAAATAAATACCAAATTTCAGTGAGTGGGTTCTTACAAAGATAACTCACTCTATCTTCACAGAAAGCTTGTATGAGCGTTTCCTGTGGGAATATTTAAAATTTTAGATGAGGATTTCCTTTAAAAAGTATGTAATGCTACACACACGCTAAGCACTCTTGTGAAAACAGAGCCCTGTGTTAATATAAGTCTGGCGAGCCAAATGTTAAATTAATCACACAGTTGGGAACGCGATAACATTGTGATCTCGAGGTAAGAAAGAGAAGGAATCCTAATTCCCAGACACTAGATTCTTCCCTGCTTAGCTTCTCTCTTAAGTAATTAGTGAAGCCCAAGAGATGAGCAGTTGGGTAAAGGGAGCTTTGCATACCTGCGAGGGAATAATGCTTTTATTTGGGGGGCCTGGCTGCCAGGGGATTTCATCCAAGTTCAATAAAAGCCAGGGTTTATTCAGACAGAATTGGAACAATCCGAACCACAGGGTGGGGATCCGTTTCTAATCCCTTTGCCCATCCATATAATGATATAAGATTTAGCGAAAGCAACCTATTAGAATAGACAATAGCCACATATTTCCAGTGGCTGATTTTCTGAATGCTCAATCCTGATTTAACTTCCAAAATCCAGTACAGAGCAAATTAAGAGTCTTCATTCAACCTCTTTCTTCTAGTAGATTTTAAAAATAATTATTCTAATTAATTCACACAGTAAATGCGACTCAGACTCTTAATCTGTTAAGACATTACTGAATTACTCCTGGAAGCCCTAGTTACTCACACAGGCTCATTGTAAGCACCTCTGACTCTCGTCTAATAGACCAAAATGATTAAACTTTACCTGAATAAATTCCTAAGTACCAGTTAAGATCGAGCTTCTCAGTTACATTTTCTTTTCCATTTACAGTGACATTCAGGGCGCTCTGCTCATTTGCCCTATGGAACAAGGGAGAAAAAATACTAAGCTATAGACAGAATGTAGATAAATACCAAAAAAAAAAGTTAACCTCAATTTGGAAGACATGCTTTATGCTGGAAAATGATTCCCAGCTCACATGGTCCTGTGTACATCTACCTTACAAAAATTCAATTTGAATTCTGACTTTCAGTTCTCAAAACTGTGAAGATGCTGCTGAGGCTCAGACACGGGTAGAGACCATTACAGGTCATACTCCACCAGCAAGAACTTTAATTTTGCTTCAGGGAAACTAAGTGAGGATTAGAAGAGGAGGTCAGCCCACCACTTCCCAGCTCCGAGCGAAAGTGAGGCTTCGCGTCAATTTTATAGCACTTCACGTCAGACCAGAAAGAACTCACCAGTATGAAAGCCACCAGTCCTGAAGAACGTAGGCCACCTAGAGTAAGGAAACAAACAAACAAAAATCAAACACTAACATCACTTACCAACTCAAAACTCTCACTCACTAAGATGGATCATCGAAAGGCTCCAGAACAAAAGAGATGATCCTTCCACCTCAGGTCTGTGCCAAGCCCAGCATCCCAGATAACAGGTCAAATAAACTCATACTACATTTTAAAATCTTTAAAAGACATCCGTTTTTTTTTTCCTAGAAGTTATTTGTAACAAACATGCAACACCCATAAGCATCACTTATTTAGTTCCCCATAGCTAGCATGTTTCAAGGCAAATCCAAGTGGACTGCAAAATACAGTACAGTCATGCATCGCTTAACGATGGGGATACATTCGTTAGGCAATTGTGTCGTTGTGTGAACATCACAGAGTGTACCGAGGGGGAACAAAAGTTGCCACTCCAAAATGTGTCTCTTTAACATGACGATTACATTAGGATGATTATTTTTAAGAGACAAAAGGCTCGAAGTTTTTCTTGTTACCTCTCCCTTAACTGCCTAACAGAATAAAGATAAAAAAAAATCTGCGTCAGGAAGTGAGCTAACACCTTAGCATAACATGAACTAGGTGGTAGACGGGGAGGAACCTAGAAAAGCCTGTTTGTTGGACTCCCTCTGTGTTCTTTACCTCTGTTCGGAAAATATGTCTTGTTCGCTCCTTTTCACCTACCTGTGAATTGCCTTCCTTCCCTTTGAAGTCCCTGATGCCCCCCAGCCCACCAAACATCTTCTTTTATCTTTAGCTGAGGATGGTATTTAAGGCAAGGGCTTTGGCCATTTCGGCAAGTTACTCAGTTTTCCTGGGTTTCTCCCATGTATACATGTCACTAAACTTTTGTTTTTCTCCTGTTAATCTGTCTCATGTCAATTTAATTCTCAGACTAGCCAGAAGAAGCCAGAAGGGGAAATGAAAATTTCTTCCTCCTCTATGGTACTTACACAAACCTGGATGGTATAGCCTACTGCACACCTAGGCTATATGGTACTGAGCTTATGGGACCATATATACGGTCCATCGTTAAACATCATTACGTGGCACATGACTATATAAATAAACACAGGATAAACAGTACTGTAAATATCAAGCTGAGGGTACAAAACAAAATAAATGTCTTTATTTACCTGTGCTATGATGTTTAGTAGAATAAGGAAAATGATGATAAGCCAGTGAGCACCAGCTGTGAAGTAATTCTTGTAGGCCTTAAGACCAATATTTCCTTCAGAACGGCTCTCCTCTGATAGCGTAACCTGTGCGTTCTCAGTCTAGTGAGAGACAAAATTTTAAATAATGAACCCAAAAACTTCAGAAGGTAAACAATGTGCTCTTTTGGATAAGCTGTGGGAAAACAGACACTGGTTTCATACACTGGTAGGAGTGCAAAATGGCACATCTCCTATGGAGACCAGTATAGAAATATCTAGCCAAACCATATATACATTTACTCTTGGACCCAGCCACCCCACTTCTAGGAATCTATGAGAAATAAGGAAATATCATTTATACATGGTTAGTCATTGTTGCGTGGCTTTGTTTAAAGTAGAATATCGTGATTTCTAGCACATGCACATACTCGACTCAAGTATAAATGCAGAAGCTTGTTCCAAAATAATACATAAAATGGTATGGAGCTAATGTATCACTCCAGATTATTTGTGTCACTTAATGATGGAAACATAAAACATAGTGGGGGACTCAAAATATCGGCTGAATACAGCAAACTGAGTTCAAACAGTGAGGTGGAGTAATGAGAGATTGGATAGCAAGGGGGAGCTTGCTATGATCCAAATCTTTTGGCTTCCTGAATTTCAGAGAGAGACTCCTGAGTTTTGAATGTGAGGGACTAATCGGAACACTTATCAGAATCATCCAGGCTTTTGGATTTTGATGGTGAGAATTTGGATATTGAGGAATATCCATGTATATTTTTAAGGGAGCTCTAGTGCATTTCTGTCCAGAGGACTTAGGATGCATTACAGATTCACATGAGCCCAGGATGTCCTTGGCTCTATGCTGGCCACTGGGGATTCAAAGATAAGATGTGTTCTCTGTCTTGAAGGGTAAGAAAGGAAGACAAGAACTAACTCTACAGTGTCTACTGGGTGCCAGGGCCTTTGCACATCCTACTTCTGGCCTATCACAAACCATCTGACAAGGGGGCAAAATAATACCAGCCGTCACCTACAGTACCAGAATATTCCAACATATAAGAAAAGTAGCTGATTTAATGTGGGCCACAGCAGGACTCAGTCTGAGGGTGTCTTCAGATTAAGCCTCTGGATGCAGAAGAGAAACTTGGGACCACCAGAGCAAGTGGGATTTACCTACGGTAAATTCAAGAGTTCTAGTATCAGTGTGAGCCACATACACCTAGGAATGTAAAGTGGTACACCCACTACTGTTCTCCATCTGATACCCAAAGGAGAATCCCAACCAGGCTTGCTCCCTTCATTCTGTTTGAATTCTACCAATTCCACGGAATAAGGCCTTGGAAACTTAGAATCTACTTTGGGGAAAACGAAGATGTCACGAGTGGTGTAAACCGAAGATCTTGAAGTCACTAGGAGCGTACAGAACCAGGCCGTGTTGCAAGATGAGAAACTCACATCTTGGCCCTCTGGAGTGCCATCTTTCAACGACAGTCTAGAAGACTGTTGAGACCAAACCGAAGACTCCGAGAAGGTCCGATTCCTCAGCGTGGGAGTTCCTGGAACTGGAGATTGTTCAGTCTCCTCGTTTTCCTTCTTTAAAAGGGAACCAAAATCTACCCCAGATTTCAGAAACTCAGTGTAGGTCCCCTTTTGCACCATCTCACCCTAAAAGAAAAATAAGAATTTGAAAGGAGAACATTTGCATTTGATAATACTAATCTAATAATATACCAATCAAGAAAAGTTAATTGGTCTTAAATCATGACTTTTGTAAGAAAATTATCCTTAGGTCTGAAATTCTGGTTGACAAATCTAGTTCAATTCAACTCGACACAGAACTGAGCATTCTGCTCTCTGCCAAATCCTGTGTCACGTGCCGGGGGATGTAAAGGTGGAACCATGTGTTAAAGCTGGAGGTCACCGACATAACTCATGGGCACTTAAGGAAGCATAAAGCACGGCTATTGGTGAGAGTATCAGTACAGTCTTTTAAGACAACACGGAAATCGAAGCCTTGCGTAACAAGCAGAATTTACAAGAACAGAGTCAACTGGGGAGGATATTCCAGGAAAGAAACTTGAGACAGACACAGAGCTGGACACAAGCACATCTACGCAGCTAAGAGTCACTTCTCAAAGCTCTGCTGACCATTCTCATAGATCAGGGGCCCCAGTGGGACAAGATGTGCGGGAACTAGCCCTGGACACAGAACCCATGAGTGGCATCTTCATGGTCTCTACTCTAAAACTGCCCTACAAACTCAGGAAGTTCCCAACTGAAAATTCAACATTCCGTGTGTTAAAGTAACCCAGTAATGAGGTCCTTATGTGGAGGTGGCTCTAATGCCTTGGGAGCCTACAGAAGCAAACCAAAACCCAGGCCAGAGCCCACACACTTAAATCCAAGACAGTGAAACTTGAGAACAATCGATCAGCAGCAGCCAAGGCTTTGCCCAACCAGGCAACTGCTTAAGCTATAGCCAATCAAATAATTTCCTTTGAACACATGTGACACCTCATGGCACAGTTTCCCTTCATCATGAAGTTACATAAAATAACGTGCAGGTGTTTTCACTCTTTTCTCACCCCATGAAACAAGACTCAGCTGATTTACTCAGTGGCAAACAAAATATGAGGCAAAACCCCAGGATGTAAAACAAATCCAAGGAGGGCAGCTCTGGTTAAGGCAGGTCAGGCGGAGGACGGTGGCCCAGGACCCCACCCAGTACCCCCTCATCCAATCCCAAGGTGGTCAGACCACTGAGAAAGCCCAGTGAAGCTTTTGAGAACTGTTTGCAACTGCAGAATTAGAAAATTATTCATGATATATTGTGACTTGTTCTACTTAGGAGGCAAAATTCATACACCTTATTGGATGAAATTATCACTTAGCATCTGTAAGATGCACAGGAATGACCAGCGGTCTAGAGAGCAATTCCACTCATCAGCCAAGCACTGACAATTCCAAGAGGGGCCGAGGGGCCAGCCACCCCCTCTGCGGTTAGAGAGGGGCCAGACAAACAGTAAGGATGGACCCCACCCCATCCATGGTGCTCTCCAGTGGACAAATGGTTGTTTCGATGCTATTAAAATTGGGGGTGATGTCCTCAAAAGCAGCAAGAAGGGGACCACAAAACACCTAGGGACTGGCTGAACAGGTTATTCTCCTGCTCATAACACTGCCAACACTGGGGTTTTACCACAGTAGATTCAGCCCTCCGCATGAGATTAATCCTTCTCAAGCGTGAGGAATCTGAGCTCCCTGTTCCTGGACAAGTGGGGAAGAGTCGAGACACGGAACTGCTTCTAAAGAGGCAGAGGTTCCGCATTTTTATAATCTTTCTTCTGGCAGAAATTCACTTGATGAAGTGAGGGATTTGATTAAGGGCCTGTTAAAACAGACAATGGTTAACGACAGAGGTGCTGAGGCACACAGGCAAAGAAACCAAGGTTGATGCATCAAGCAACCACAAAGCCTGAAAAAGTCTCACAAATCTCCACCCCTGCCCCAACCATATTAGCTGTAGTGGGTTGAATGGTGGCCCCCTCAAAAAGATGTGTTCAAGTCCTAAACATGATACCTGGGAAGGTGACCTTATTTGGAAATAGGGTCTTTGCAGATCTAATCATGTTAAGATGAGGTCATACTAGAGTAGGATGGACCCTAAAATCCAATGACTGATGTGCTTATAAAAAGACATGAAACTCAGACAGACACAGGGACAACACCATCTGACAACAGTGGCAGAGACTTTGGTGCTGCAGTACAAGAGATCCCAAGAACTGCTGGCAAACACCAGAAGCTGGAAGAGGCAAGGAAGGATTCCCCCTAGAGCCTTCAGTGACAACATGGTCCTGTCAGTACCTTGATTTCAGATTTGTAGCCTCGAGAATGGTGGGAGGATAAATTTCTGTTGTTTTCAGCCACCTACTTCGTGGTACTTTGTTATGGCAGTTTTAGAAACTGTTGAGAAGTTGCCTTCTCAACTTTACTTAGACTTCTAATTGCTTCTCTTGTTACCCCTCCAGCAAACATCAAGAGGGATCTTTCAAAATCACGCATCACTCCTCCGCTCTGGACCGTCCAATGACTTCCGTCCCATTTCCGGGCCCGCTGCCCACTGTTCTGAGACCACCTCCCTCCACGATATCCCCGTTCACTCAGCCTCAGACACAGTGGCCTCCCTCACCTGCCAGGTCAGTTCCTTCCTTAGGACCTACGCATGGAACCCCTGCCTCAGATGCCCCTCCCCCAGGTGACTGCATGGCCAGCACCTCCATGTCACTCAGGTCCCATGAGGCGCCACCTCCTCAGGGAGAAGTCATGATATCAGCCCCCACCCCTCTATCTCTTTTGTCACATCTATCCCCATAAAAACCCCACGGAGCCCCAGGACGGCAAGGACTTGTCTTACTGCTGCACAGGCTCTCCCACACATGAGACATGTAAAAAGACCTGTGAGTGAGACCAGCAAGTGGCTATACCAGGAGAGTGAGCACCTCTGACCACAGGGTGCTGGGCCATCCAACCATGCTCTGTTATTAACAGAAGATGCCCTTTAGGGAAACTGCATACGACAATCAAATGCATTCGCACATGTCTTATTATCTCTAATTTCCAAATAATACACTTTGACTTAAGTCATGGAAGAGGAAAACAAAAAGCTCTAAATAAAATAGCATCATTATCTTTAACAATTTCACTAGAACAGATACAATTTAGTAACTCTGAGGTAGCAATTTTATATACTTTAGGGTTTATATGGCTTAGAATATAAGTGATGTTTCTACATGTCTTTGGATTAATTCTCAAAGGCATGAATACCAGCTCTGAGGAGAAAGGACATAAAATTGTGGAAGAAGAGGGAGTTGACATGAACCCAAGGAGAGTGACCTGCTGGGAAGCCTTGCCTTCAACATACCTGAGTGCTAGAAAGTTCCACAGACTTCTAGATATTACTTACATCTTTCACTATCAGAATCTGACTGGCAGCTTTTAGGTACTGCAACTGATGAGTCACTAAGATTGTGATCTTCTCATGCAAGGTTTGGCAAATACACCTATAAATGTAAAAGGTACAGCATGCAAAACACATTAATGCAGGCACTCCAAATTGAAAAACATACATTTTGAAAACAACGAGACAAAGACAACACGGTAGTCAAAAACCTGTAGTTGGTTGGTTGGTTGTTTTTCAAAGATTGGCACCTGAGCTAACAACTGTTGCCAATCTTTGTTTTTTTCTGCTTTTTCTCCCCAAATCCCCCCAGTACATAGTGGTATATTTTAGTTACGGGTCCTTCTGGTTGTGGCATGTGGGACGCCGCCTCAAGGTGGCCTGACGAGTGGTGCCATGTCTGCGCCCAGGATCCGAACTGGCGAAACCCCAGGCCACGGAAGAGGAGTGCACAAACTTAACCGCTCGGCCACGGGGCCGGCCCCCAAAACCTGTAGTTTAAATACCAACCTACATACAAACTGAACACAAATACAAATTAAATACAAACATAAACCAATGAAACTGACTAATGCACCAGCAATTGCACCAGCAATTAACTAATTAATTAATCAATCAAATGCACCAGCAGCTAACTTGAGTCTAGCTCCACCAAGAAATTCTAAAAAGCAGTCCAATTCAGGAGGTAAAAACCACTAAGTTTTTTTCCCCCTAAAACTTAGATTAACAATTATTTATATATTTCATGATGAAAAACAACTGAGCAACACTGAGATTCCAAAATCTGACTGGACTAAAATACAATCACTTTATCACTGTGGACAAACAGCAGAGGGATGGATTTACATTATATAAAAATGTGTACATTTTTCTTAGACAGTTTCCTATGTGATTATTTATGATAACTTGTGATGTACACATAAACCAAAATAAAAAAGTCTTAGCTGCTCGGTAACCTTTGTCGGAGTGCACCTTCTAGACACTTCTTCCCAAATACTATTAGATAGAAAATGAATGCTGGCACAGCCTCCCTCAGTCCCTACAATATTTCCAATCCCTTTCAGGAAGCAAATCTTTCATTAGGACTGAAAAATCCTTCTGAACGTGAAAGTGAAAGAAGAGAATCCAAATGGCCCAAATCCTAGTGGATAATCATCCAATAGGTCAAAGGACACGCCAATTCTCTTAGCCAAGACTCACTTCAGTATTGAGCCTTGATAGGTTATCTTTTTTCTTACGGTAACTCATCAAAGTGCTCCTATGTTTTAAATGCAGACCCCTAGGAACTCAGCCCCAGCCTGCATCCCACAACGGTCTGCAGCCCCTCCAGGCACCCGAGCAGCTGGACACTGGGCCCCAGTGACCACAGGCTGGGCTCCCTGAGTCCCGCACAGAGCAAATCTCAGGAACATGGGCCATAACTCGACCTGCTGAGGGGGGTCAGATCAAGAGTTCAAATCCCTGTTCTACCACTCACCAGCCCAATAATGTCCGATGAGCTACTAAACCTCTCTGAACCTCAGTTTCTTCATCTCAAACTAAGGCGAATGTCAACTCACAGGCATGTCCTGAGAAATAAAAGCACTAATCCCTCAGTAAATGTTAGCTCCATTCTCCACTCTTCTCCTAACCCGTAGGCAGCCACTTGCTTTGGATTCAGGATAGAAAGTCCTAAGGGAACACTTTTGAGACTGGGCTATAATCAGAATGTAGAGGGAGTAGGATGTAGATGCATATAATATTTCATTCAAGTCCAAAAGGATTACTTTTTCCCCTTTGACACGTCTTCCTTTGGCTTTTATACCTAAGTTTCTTAACCCAGTAAACCCCTCTTCAGGCTTAGTACTAAAGCTTTAAATGGAATTGTTTCTCCTTAATTTAAAATTACCTGCCTTTAATCCCTGAAGGCAGATGGTAATCTAATCTGATGGGGTGCTATGTCCAATATGGGCCAACTCAAAATATTTTAAATGTTTTCTTCTTACCATTCCATCACAGATGAGGTAATATAAATAATTACAATGATGTCATCAGATGATGGCTTTAAATTTTTCTAAATTATGCTTTTCATCAAAATTTCCAGGAAAATACTCTATTTTCCTCATTTTTAAGAGTAAAAAAGTCCAAGTCAGGCCATATAAAATGACTGATTCAGCAACGAGTTGTTTAACTTATCCCATATAAGAACTGTGTTACGAGGTATCACATACCACGGTGAAGGTGATACACATAAGGAAAAAAAGAGTCACTACCTTCATTCATTCAATCAACAAACATTTGTTGAGGTGCCGGGCACTGTTCTAAGTGCTGAGAACACATCCACTGGTCAAGAAAACAGGCAATACTCTGCACTGTGCAGGGGGGACACACTAAATAAATATAGAAAATGCACTATCAGGTCGTGATGCATGCTTGAGGGTTGCTATCTTAGATGGAGGTGACAAGTGAGCTGTGAGACTATCTGGGGAAATAGCCCTAGAAGAAGGTACAGCAGGTGCAATGGTCCTGAGACAGAAACAAGCTGTGTAAAGGCAGCTTCGTGCATTCAGTTTAGTGGAGGACGCGAAAATGATCAAGTACAACCACCGAGGGCAGTGGAAGACAGGAAGCACACGGTTCCCCCTGTAGGGACAGGAGGGAGAGGCGGGAAGGTCGGGAAGGTGGCATCTGCACCTTTCAGCTTTCTCCTTTGCCCTGGCACACGGTCCCCTGGCTCTCAGGTAGAAGGAACAGTGTCTACACCGACAGGCAGATAGGAGAAAGGGCTCGCCTCACTCAGGGCCCTCCACCAAAGCCAGCAGGGCTGGAATATCGAGTTTGTGTGAGGACACACTGGAAAGGTTCGTGGGGGCAGAAAGCAAAGAGCCTCATTTGCCTTGAGGACTTGGGGCTGCACTCGGAAGGTGAAGGGGAGTCTGGAGGCTGAAGCAGGAAGGGCGCACAGGGCAGCCAGCAGCGAGGGAGATCTGATTACCAAGAGCTCATGCCGCCGGAGGTGGGGGCATCTGGTGATACGGTGCTTTCTAAACCATGAAAGCATCCACAGCTAGACACAGATTCGAGCAGGATCAGTTCATCTAAGGGCCCCTAATCTGCGGTATGTCATAGAAGCCACTTAACATATAGTTAAAACTTGCAGAACTTAATAACCTTGGATATACATTCACGACTGAAGTAAAGTGTTAATGGCAAGTGGAAGTGTAATTCATTCACTTTTAATACAAAACACTTCACATTACTAAGCTTCAACACAACCGCCATCTTTCATAGCATATTGTTCAATCCAATTTTCTAACTCGTTGAGAACATTCTCCAGTTGCTGCTGAGTGATTTCCTAAATTGCATTCGTGCTCCCTGCCCGAAGTTTCCCCAAAGAATGTGGTTCTGATTAGCAAACAACAATTTTAACAAGCTTGCTTCTATCAAGTGTATATCCAAAGTCATTAAACCCGAAAGGTGCAAGAGGACTTTATAAATAGCTCCCATGTTCAGAGAAGAACTTGGAGTTTCGCGATAAGCACACTGATACCCAGTAAACAGAATGCTTTCCCCTCTCCTCCCTACTGACACAAATGCAATGGCCAGCAGAAACTGTCTTTGGAGTGATGGAGAACTCACGCAGACAAGGCTGGGTAACAGACATTCATGAGTCCAGGGTGGGGCGTGGGGAACAGGGAGGCTGAGCCACTTACGGTGCCGAGGCGGGGGGGGGGGGGGGGGGGGGAGGATCTCAGTCACAGCATTAGCACCCTGTGCCTGAACTCAGTAACAAGCCACAAGGCGCTTCTGTGCCTAAGGAGAAATTCAAGTCACAACCAGGAGGGAGCAGAAAAGATCAGAGAGCTGGACGCCATGTCAAGCGTCAGCTGCCCTGCTCTCTGCATTGTGAAAGATTCAACACCACTATGCACTTTTTTTATTGTGGTAAAAAAAAAAAACCACAACATAAAATTTACCTTTTTAACCACTTTTACACACACAGCTCAGTGGCATTAAGTACATTCACACTGTTGTGCAACCATCACCACCATCCATCTCCAGAGCTTTTTCATCGTCCCAACACTACGCACATTCTACATTACACACTCTGGTGGAGGAACGTCAGGGGATCCGGCCAGGACCCATGCCTAGTGGATGCCAGGGAGGCCCAGCTCCTGGGATCCAGAGCTCATAGCTGTCTCACGCGCACATTACTGATGGCTCGGATCTCATTACTCCGTTATTTAGGACCTGTTGTGAAGGCACTGTGTCCCCCCAAAATTCACATGTTGACATCTTAACCCCCAGGACCTCAGAATTTTGAAACAGGGCCATTAAAGACGTAATTCAGTGAAAATGTGGCTGTAAGAGGCAGCATTAATCCAATCTGACTGGCCTCCTCCTCAGAAGAAGAAATGAGGACATAAGGAGACAGATACCAGGGGCACACAAGACCCAAGGAAAGACCACGTGAGGACACAGTGAGAAGGAAGCCATTGGCAAGCCAAGGAGAGACCCTCAGGAGAAACCAGCCAACACCTTGATCTTGGACTTCCAGCCTCCAGAACTGTGGGAAAATTGATTTCTGTTGTTTAAGCCCCGCTGTAGGTGTACTTTGTTACGGCAGCCTGCTAGAGACTGAATGTTTGTGTCCTCACCGAAATTCAAATGTTGAAACCCAATCCCCAGTGTGATGGTATCTGGAGGTGGGGCCTTTGGGGTGATCAGGTCATGAGGATGGAGCCCTCACAAATGGAATTTGTGCTCTTATAAAGGAGAACTCAGAGCTGGCTTCCCCCTTCTGCCAGGTGAGCACACAGAGAGAACACGGCCACCTACAAACCAGGAAGCAAGCCCTCACCAGACACCGACTCTGCCCTGATCTTGGCCTTCCCAGTCTCCAAAACTGTGAGAAATATATTTCTGTTATTTATAGGCCACCCAGTGTACTGTATTCTGTTACAGCAGCACAAACAGACTAAGACGCAGCCCGAGCAAGCTAATGCAGGACCTTTCCAAACGGCTTTCTCTCTGCTATGTAACATGCATCCTCCACTTGACAGGGACTGCCTGCTGTTCTTTTTACATGTCTTGCTTCTTCCTACACCTTTACTTCTACTATTCCCTTTAGCAGAAGAAACTAAACCCTATTCTCTGCCTGTACAAACCCTTCCCAGCCTGCAGGACCACAGGGCACTTCCCGCCAAGCCCAGTCCACAGTGAGCTTTCCATTACAAGGTGAATGCCTATGGCTCCCCACTTCTACTTCCATTTAGCATTCATTAACCTACAGCAAAACCACCTTCAGCCTGAGTATGCTGAAGTTTTCCCATGCATTTGTCTTGACAAACTCCATGCAGAGTCAAATTTCTTAGGGGCAGGAACAAGATCTAAACTTGGTCTCCCTTATTCTGCCCAGTAGGGGCCCTTGCCCTCACTTGGCTTACTGTCCACCTTTGTAAACTAAGATGTCTGTGAAATAACATTTGTAAGAGCATCAATCTCAGTGCACATAGGAGGGCTTCAGTAAGGACAGGTGAAGGGCTCACTGGCTTTAACAATATGAACAACAGCAAGATAACTGTGGAGTGGGTAGGTGTGGTGCTGTCTGAGCAAGCGCAAGTTCACGATGCTTTGGAAAAGGCCGGTCTAGACTACACAGGAAGCGTCAGTCTGCATCTGTTACATTATAACATACACAGAAAAGATTCCAGAGTTGTTCTATTCCAGTGGCTCAGGGGCTAAGCAAGAGCCAAAGAAAATAAATTCCAGAAACAGTGAAAGTGAGAGTGAGGAGTTAAGCCAGATTCTAGATACCTAGTTTCAAATTCAAGGTAACCCTACATGTGTGGGTCTTAAGTACTAATTTTAGTAAGAATCCATGAAGCAACATTAAATTATTGAAGTCATATTCTGATAAGGAACAAATCATTCTTAAATTCTAGGCTCTACTAAGTATTTCCAAACCTTCAGAATAAAGAGCATAAACCAACAAGGCCTTTCCATGGAAACCCTATGTTGGGACTGAAAAGTTCACTCGTAACGTGCCATAAACAAATGATGGAGGAAAAGGCCAGCAGCCAAGTCCCAGGGTATGAGTCCCACCCTTCCATTTAAAAACTGCTCATCATCCTTCTTATTCCTGGGGTCTGACCTACCCACAGTGTCTTGGTTATCAACTGCAAGGAGCAGGAGGAGATTTGCCATCAATTTCTCAACTCCCTAAGGCATATATCCACTCATCTCCACACACCGCATGCACCTTCTGTATTTTCCTATCTTGACCTTATATTAATGCAAAACTTCTTTAAAATGATCTTCTGTGTTGAGGAAAGGGAGGGGAAGGAGGGACACCAGAGCAGGATGAGCTGAATTTTCTGAAGCGTAAAAGCTTTCCTGAGCGCACTTACAGAGTTCTTGGGAAAAGAAATGACATAAAGCACGAGGAAACTCACAGTTCGAACAGGTGCCTGCTAACTTCTGCATCCACTGCACTGAGAGGATCGTCCAGGAGGTAAATGTCTGCATCTTGATACACGGCTCTAGAAAACAGAAAGAGGTATCAGACAGAAGAACGCTTCACACTCCCTGGATCTCATCTGTGAATCATGACAGTGTTCAACAACTCGGATAATATTCATTACAAGAGCCAACGAAATAATCCACGGCGAGGGCTTCACACGGTGGCCCCCATACAGTAAGCGGGGCCTACGAGTTCACCACCACTGCAAGCAGCGTAAGAGGCATGTGCAGACTGGCAACTGAAACGCGATTTACCTTGCGAGGTTGACCCGGGCTTTCTGTCCTCCACTCAGCGTGGTTCCTCGATCTCCTATCACAGTTAGATCTCCATTCTCCAAAAGCTGTAAATCCTATAAGGAGATAGAAAAGGAAAAAAAGACTTAAAACGCATTCTACTGTCATCCTAAACTTTTAGCGTTAGTTAACACATGTATTTTGATCAACAGCAATGGATATGTTTCATAGTGACTCAATGGTACCCTGAACCTCTCAAAAACTCTCTCGGGGCTTTTTGTTTCCATTCTGCAGGTCTTCACAGCATTTATGCATCTAACCATTTTTACAGATATTTATTGACCACCAACTACACGCCAGACATGGCTCTAAGCACAATGAATTCAGCAGTGAAAAAAAAGTCCCTAGGGTTCCCATGGTGGAAAATTAACAATATGAAAAAGTAACATGAGCACAAGTACTAAGTTCTAAGAAGAAAAAGGGAGCTGGCTCAGGGGGATAGAGAGTAAAGCAGAGAAAGTGCATCTTACACGGGGATTGGCAAGGGCTCTGATCAGAGGCAGTTTAAGCAGACACCTCTTGGAGGGTAGTGTGGGCCTGCACACAACTGCACAAAGAGGGTTCCCCATGGAAGAATGGACAAGTGCAAAGGCCACGGGGCAGATGCATGCCCAAGGTATTCCAAGATTAGCAAGAAGGCCAGGAGAGCTGGAGCAGAGTGAATAAAAAATTGGGGGATGAGAGCAGAGACACAAACAGGAGGGGCCACAGTTTCACTCCAAGTGAAATGGGGAGGGAACTTACAGGAAGACCAACATGATCCAGCTTAGGTTTTTAAGGAATCACTCTCACCTCTTTTTGGAAATCAGATGATAAATGGGGCAAAGGTGAAGGCAGGATACAAGGGAGGAGACTACCGCAACAATCTAGGCAAGAGATGTCAGTGGCAAGGACCAAGGTGTGAGTAGTGGACATGGACAGAAGTGGTCCCATTCTGGACAAGTTCTGAAGGTAGAGCCTATAAGACCTGCTGATGGGGTGGGTGTGGGTTATAAGAGAAGAGGAGAAGTACATTGTTTTGGGCATGAGAAAGGGGAGAAGAGGATCATCATTTACTGAGCTGAGGAAGGTAGTAGATGCAGGTTTGGGAGAGTTCGCTTACGGGTAAGCAGAGATGCCTACTGGTAATGTCAAGTTGCAGCTGGATATGAAGGTCTGTGCTAGAGGTACAAATGTGAGAGCTGTTAGCACACACGACTGTAAAGCCACGGGACTTAGTTTATTGAGGAGTAAGTGAGTCTACTAGCCATTTTACAGTAAATATACACCTATTTCATAAAAATCTGGCCCATGACCGCTAACAGTATCATTTCTGAAAACACGCAATCTGTCATTAACAATAACCAGGGAGAAAGAAAGAAATTCCACTGAACAAGCAATTATGTTTTGTCCACATCATCACAAAATACTACTCACCTGATACAATCTATGATGCTCAAGCAAAATGACTATTTCCTGACAAAACAGGTTTGGAGCCCTCAACACCATAACTTTGAAAAGGCTTTGTCCAGCCTTTTCCACACAATATAAAAAAACAGTCAGACGTCCAGACTGCACTGAACAGACCCCGGGGACAGCCCTTTAACGCTACTATTGATTTTTATAACCCAAAGAGAATGACACAGTATTTATCAGTATGTACCCTTTTTTTTTCTTTTTGCTAAATTATATTCTCCTATCAGGTATAAGTCCAGTTCCCATCACTCATTTACCAATTTTATTTAGATCCCAAAGTACAATTAAACATTTCACATTGCCATGTTCTTCAAAACTCAGTCATTTCTGAAAACAATCTGTTCCTTCATGCAATGATGCATTAGTAAAAATAAATTTTAAAGCATTCTGTTTTCTTTCAATAATAAATTATGAGTCAAAAACAAAGAGGAGAGAAACCTATAGACTGAAAGGGACCTCGGAGACAAAGCAAGAAAGTGCAGACCTTATGTGGAGCTGATTCAAACCAGTGGTTGACAAGATTTCCTAGTGAGATAACTAACAAAATGAAACACTGACTACAACATTGATGATATTAAGGAATTTCAGTCATTTTTCAAGTGTGATAATACGGTGCTTTTCTCAAAGGCATTCTTGTCTTTTAGAGATAACTAATGAAATATTTAGATAAACTAATATGAGATCTACGATCTGCTTCAGAACAATTTAGGGTGGGGTGGGGCCAGCAGGGGACAGGGAACCAATGCAACAAGACTGGCCACCAGCTGATCATGGTTGAGCTGAGAGATGGGTACATGAGGGTTCATTACACTATTCTACTTCTACATTATTTTTAATTGTCCATTAAAAAAAGTTAAAAGTGAATAAAACTTCACAAACTAAAAACTAAAACAAACCTCCCCCCCCCCCAAAAAAAAAGCATTCTGTGAATGTCATTATCACATCAGGATTAAGACAGCAGTGTATGTGTGTGCATGTGTATATTTACCCAGAAGACTAACAAATATTAAATGACATTCAAAGATCTTTCCCCAAAAAAACTTTTAACAAACCATATAGTTTAAATCAACTCTGTTAGTATTATTTCAAATTCAAGTATACGCAAATCAAAAGTCAATACTCACCTTTCTCAAAGCACAAGCCTTTATGACTTTTTCATACCGTTCCTTTTCATATTTCTTCCCAAATAAAATATTACTCCTCACAGTTCCTGAAAACACCCAGGGCTGCTGAGAAACATACGCGATTTTTCCGTGCACAGTGACCAGCCCCTGGCTCGGGGGCAGTTCCCCCAGCACAGCACTTAACAGTGATGACTGAAATAGATCATAAACAAACACATGTGTACAGGCAACACTCAGGACAGAATAAACCGCTGCAATACAGCCTTCCCCTAAGTGGGGTTTCCCCGAGGGGGTTTGATAAACATTGTGGCCCTGGAAGCTGTAATAGAAAAACAGAAATTAACACTATTGGTAAACTAATGGTTGATAAGGATCATCAATAAAATAGAGTACAGTCCTGCACCAAATAACGACATTTTGGTCAACAAGAGACCACATACATGACGGTGGTCCCACAAGATTAGTACCATAGAGCCTAGGTGTGTAGTAAGTAGGCTTTACCATCTGGGTTTGTGTAAGCACCCTTTGTGATGTTCACACAACGACAAAATCACCTAATGATTCATTTTTCAGAGAATATTCCATCGTTAAGCAACAAGTGACTGCATAACAATCTACTCCACCCAAAAAGAATTTCCTCTAAATGAAACGCTATACTCAGACTAATTAAGAACGTTTAACATCCTTAACAGAGTAGCCCCACGTGATATATATATTTCATATGTGTGATGTTCAATGCACTTGTTCCTGCCCCCAGGTATCCTGAACAAGATACTTGTTCCTGAAAAGCTACGTGTACCTAAATATCCAGTGCACCAGGAATTATTAAAGGAACTCTGAAGTGAGTCATGTTTCCGAAGAGCAAAAATCCACCGTAAGGGAAATAATCACCCTATCATCTATACATCCTACGTTTAGACTTCTCTATGTTGTTGTTTCAGAACACACGACACTAAGTCCGCAAGCACATGTCCTTCAAATCTTTTACAACCTACAGATGTGATGAGTCTGTGCCTGCCACTTATAACAGCACTTGTAACACTGAGCTGAAGTAATCTGTGTTTGTCTCTGTCTCGCCCCAGAACCTGGCTGCTTCTAGAGGGCAAAGGTGTCTGGGTCTTGCTTGTATCTGTATCTTTAACTCCCAGCGCAGGGCCAAGCACATGGCTGCACACTGACTACACATGTGTTGCTGTGACTTGGATAAATCAAATGAGGAAATGTTTAAAGCTTTCTGGAAGAGGCTTCACAAACTCCAGACTTCCTGTAAGGTCTACTGTGACAAAAAGAAGTCCCCATTTTCTCAGTCATTCCGTCCTGAAGAGCTGTCACACTTTAACAATTTCCTTCACTGAGATGTCCAACTCCCAGACAAGCAGTTCCCAACTGCAACTTGAAGCATCAAGAAGGAAAACATGACACGCCTTACCCAGATTTATTTGGCTATGCGACTTTCTTACAGAACTAATGTCCCATGGAACCCACTTTGAGAAATGCCATTCTAGATACACTTAATTCAAACCTGTGCTACACACACATATTGGGGTTCAACCCCAATAATTTAATATGGGACTCCTCATACCATCAAGCTGCTGAAAGCCATTAAACTTACCTTTCCTGCTCCCACAGGTCCAACCACGGCTAACAATTCACGAGGTCTGACAGTGAAGGAAAGGCCTCGTAGGGTTGGAGTTTCTGATGCCTACAAATTAAAGTTTACAAAAATGTGCCCATTTCAATAAAGCAACACAGATCACTTTAAACAGTGGAAAAAATAACATAATAGTCATTGGTACGTGAACATAACCCACTTCTTTCTCCTTTCTATTTAAGATATTGTGTCCTGGAGTCCCTTTCATTCCATCACATTTCTTTGGGGGTTTGAGGCAGCATTAGCTGCCTTTAGGAAGCCCTGTTCTTTTACCAGATTTCCATACGGACACAGCTCTAGACATCCACAGAATTTAAGTGGCATAAATGACATGGCACCTTCTTGCAATGAAAACTTCTTGGAGCACACTAACTCATTAAAATAATATGCTAGTAGAATATTCAATATGGGAGGTTTTTTAATCATGTATAAGTTTTCATTATGACCTTTGGTTTTAATCTTCTATTTCATTAATCTCCACAAGGTGGCAGCACAAGGACATGGCATGAAATCACTAATCATTTTCACTTGATAATCTCAGGAATGCTCAGCAAGCAAAAGGGCACTTTATAAAGTCACTCTTAGCAAATAAACTGTAAATGATGGTCAAGACTGTTACCAGAGCTCTAATTTAATACCACCAACAAAAAAACGTGGGAATAAGGAAATGAGGTATCATATCATAGGTCAAAGGGATAAAAGTCTCAATTTTATACCTGTAGCATGCATTGCCTGTCCTGGGTAAACAGAGACAAGAAAGTACTTCCATAGCAAAAACCATGGAAGTACAGGCGACAGCATACAATCCAATATGAGGGGAAGAAGGATGAAGTACTCATGTGAATCAGAAGTTGCATTCCTGAGCAATCTATAGATTCTAAGATAAAGAGAGGGAAGGGTGCACGTGCGTTTTCACATATACTAAGTGCTAAGAAAATTCTCACTAACTGCTGATGTTAAAAAATAAGTGGGTACATGTGATTGCTAAAATGCCCCAAAAACTAAATGCACAGGGAGAAATAAGAGGTCTGGATAACCTTCAAAACGAAAAATTTCTCTGGAAATAACTGAATTAATTATCAAATGGTCACATACTAAAACAATGATGATTATTTCTAAGCACAAAAAAAAGCCCCAGACTTTACAGGAATTATAAAAACTGTCAATAAAAAGCTGGATTTTTAATACGTCAAATATTTTTTTAAGCTTCTCCATTCCTTTCTTCATGTCTAACAACTAGTTCCCTTTTTACTTAGTTCTGACTGCAAAATAATGAGCCACATACAAACGGCAGCCTCCTGTCACCACATCTCACAGCTTCCTGTCAGGGCCAGGCGGAGAGTTCCTCCCCAGCGTGGGCTTCAGGACCGGGCACTGCTGGAGTGTGACCAGAAGGGGGCAGCACTCGACAGCTCAGCGGTGCCCAGCCCCTTGCCCTCATGATCAACTTGGCTTCGTGGCTAATGTAACAAGGAGCATCAACAACTACTCTGTGCCACGGTTCTAGGCCGTGAGGATGCAGCAGGGACCCACACAGATGAAAGCCCCTGTCCTGTGGAGATTTACAGCCTCCCACGGGCCCATATATTTTAAAGCTTAGAGATTGAAACCAAGTCTCATCATTTCATGAATGAGGCGTGTGTTGGTGAGAAAACCTTCTCCCACCTACCCGCCTGGATGTCTAGTGGAGCTGGCAAGAGAGTCCACATCTTTCTCTTCTCTCCCAGCCCAGCATGTGCTCCATTCTGCCTCAGCTGCTCTCCAAAACCCCCACTGTCTGAGCCCCTGGCCCACCCAAGGGCTCTCTCATACATGGCCTGACAGGCCCTAATCACCCCCTAGCACAGGGCACAATCCTTCCAGATACAAGGACAGGACAACAGAATGGGGTGTTCTGTACTACAATGCAAGCTGCAAAAAAGTCTGAGACCATGTTAAGCACTTAGAAGAACAAAACAGCTTATTTTACAATGCTGCATGGTTTGGTACGGATGAAATTTGGTAATGGGTCATACAAAGTATATGTTAGCAACCTCGGTGCTTTATCTAACTCAACAGCATTCATCGAGAGTAGGCCTTTATAAAGGAATTTTAATGGTGCTTTCTATAAAGGCTTACAATGTATTTATGATGAGAAATACCAAGCAGGAGGTAAGTCTCCCAGACTAAGGTAAGGAGAAACTGTCGGGTTCGTTTGCGCCTATGTGAGCTTCCACATGCAAAGGTGCAACGATGTGGCTTTACATATTTGGGAATGCACTACTGTTTTCTTGGTGTAGATGGTGGCCACTAAACCAGAAGTAGACGAACACGATGCAGGTTGCACAATATTCAGAGGCACACGCATGAGAAGAAGAGTTTACAGAGTGTGGACGCTCACACCACTGGAGAAGGGAAAGCTGAGTGGAGGTGGGAAGGAGTGCTGGTGGAGCACCCGTTGGCTCTCAGCTCCATTCCCCGCCCTTCCCCGTTAAGCTCCAGATGGCTGGCTCCTGCAATCTTTCCAGCCAACTCCAGTTCAGCCCTGGAGGCCGGGAGACAGGAGAAACTGGTACCCACGAGCACGTCCACCTGCTTCCAGCAGCCTCCCCACCATGACCACATCCCCTCTGCAGTGCCAGCGCCCACAGAACAGGCCCTGGCACCATGGTCCCCACTCCTGCCAACAGATGAGCTCCTGGGATCTGCTCCCAACGGGCGACTACTGGTAGATGCCAGCTCCTCCCTGCATCCCTCTAGCCTAGAAGTGGGAGCAGCTTCCGGCCAACGGTAATCTCTGGGTTGCCTTGCCCACTCGTTTGCCCTTTTGGCTCTTTCATCACCTTATGTAACTAATTCCCTGCATGGAATCCCTCTCCCACGGTGTGGGTTCCGTTTTCCTGACTAATCCACACTAATGTGGGAGGACGTGCAGAAAGGACCACAGAACCAGGAGAAAAAGCATTCCAGTTGTCCATAAAGGGGGCTGCCCTGAGTCCGCAAGTTGAGAACTTCTTGAGAGCAGTCCCTGTTGTTTTCCCTGTTTGCCTAACCGTCATACCTAAACCAAGCGTTGGAAAATCCCTGCGAGCTCATCAGTTCTAGCTGCCAGCTTGCCACATGGTGAAAGCCTTAAATTAGGGATCACTGGCTCTTACTATGCCCACCTGCTGCCTCCTCCCTGCCCTTGACCGCCACCAAAGTAGCCAGTGCCATCCAGAAGCTGAGAATGGGGAGCCCCCACCCTTCCCCACAGCAAAGACCCAAATCACAGCTTCACTCAATATGCAAGAAGATGGTCTGATACCATCAACATAAAAAACATACACTGATTCCCCAAAGTCTCTTGTCTTTAACAATTTGTAACACATTTGTAAGTTAACCCATTCCATCCCACAGCACTTGTTTATCCAATCCTGAAAATTCCAACCTTCCAAACTTATATACTTTAAGTTCAAATACCTTGAAAGTTCTCTTGAAAATGAGACAAAGAACAACACATTAAACACCTTAGGCTGATTTTCTATTCAATCTAATTGCATTTAATCTTATTCCTGATTTTGAGAATTTTTATAAGATACTTTCAGTAAATGAGCAAGTCACATTTTATACCATGTGTAAAATCTCAACATTCTCTATTAAATCTTTGTCACCAGCTGTCTTTCAACAGTCACGATCTTGTAATGGAGCATCTGTTACCTTATCCCAAAAAGCAGAAAAATCTTCCACATGCACTATCATTTTACCATCATTTAATGGCAGCTGAGGGTCATGCTGTGATATCTCATCAAGTAACAGAAAGTTCTGCAGAAAAAGGAGAAACACATTGTTTAAACTGCAGGAACAAATAGCACAAACAAAAATAATCGCTTTCCTGGAATTTGCAACAAAAAACTTTATACAATACCATTTTATCATCTGAACTTAAAATGCTGGTTCACATCACAACAAACTAAATAATACACAGTATATATAATAGTATAATATATATTTTATAGTATATGATTACATAATACAGTATACATAGTGCACGCGCGCGTGTGTGTGTGTATATAGTATTATATACGTATAAACAGTTCACGGCCACAAGGCTATCTTTGTGACTTTCTCAACACGCATACCGGTTGCTTCCCTAAAGAGAAAATATGGCTCCAAACTCGAATACATTTAGAGCCTGGACATTTTTGTTGTTTTACTTTTGTGTTACTAACAATCAACACGGGAGTTGGCAGGAAATGATTCCGTAAACATTTACTGAATCCCACCATGTTACAAGTACCATGTAACATGCGAGAAACACAGAGATGCAGGCTGTTCCAGGGCCTTTGGGGATCGAGCCAGCACAGGACAGGCTGAGAACACAAGACGGATGGCAGACTCTGAATGAGAGCCTGGCCCGGCCCGTATCTGCTGTGACCTGGAGCTGAGCTGAAGTTCACTCTGCCCTTCTCCTCGTGCCTGTCAAATCAGTATATCACTACTCAGCATTAACTTGAGGCATCGTTTTAAAAAGAAAATAATCTTATTAAGTTTCTATATCTTAAAAAATGTTTTAGGGGCCAGCTCCGTGGCCAAGAGGTTAAATTCACACGCTCCGGTTCAGTGGCCCAGGGTTATGCCAGTTTGGATCCTGGGCACAGACCTAGCACCTCTCATCAAGCCATGCTGAGATGGCATGCCACACAGCACAACCAGAAGGACCTACAACTAGAATATACAACTATGTACTGGGGGATTTGGGGAGAAGAAGGAGAAAAAAAAAAGATTGGCAACAGATGTCAGCTCAGGGCCAATCTTTAAAAAAATAATCCTTTATAAGCATCTTTTCACCATCGCTTATCCTTTCTCCTTAGTAAAGGACCTGTCCTCAACAGCAGAAATGGCTGTTATCTTCCACAGCTCACTATTTTCCACACTAGTTAGCAGCTATTCAACGCAATTCAGCTAAATAAAACAAAGTGCTGCTAACCATTACAAATCTAACATCCTGATACATAGGAAAATTTCCTCTGGCTCTGCAAATGCTTGACATAATTCAACAAGAAAAGCTACGGTGGTACAGAAATTGACTAAAGAACCCAGGCCACCCTCATCCCCCACCCAAACTTTGAAGGTGTGGCAGAGACTGTGGGCCATCCTCACAATCTGTTCTCTTTCTTCTGTGTCACAAACCCCCTGATTTTTAACTGGGGCATGACAGCCTAAAACCAGAACCACTCTTCCCAGCCTCCCATACAGCCATGTGAAGCCAAGTGACTAGGTTCAGGCCAGAACATCATCCAGGAATCTTCCTCTACCCAATGGCCTGGCACTTGGAGACTGCCAGCTCGGTCAAGGCCACATGCGGTGGAGTAATAAAAAAGAGCGAGCCTGGGTCTCTGACACCATGGAGCATCCTGCTAGCTACAGAACTTGTTATGGGGTGAATTGTGTCCCCCCCACAGAAAGCTATGTTTTTTTCCTAACCCCAGTTACCTAAAATGTGACTTTATTTGAAATAGGGTCATTGCAGATGTAACTAATTAAGGTGAGGTCATACTGAAATATGGTGGGCCCTAAATCCAGTATGATTGGTGTCCTTGTAAGAAGAGAAGAGAGATGTAGACACATACACACAGGCAGAAAACGGCCCTGTGACAATGGAGACAGAGACTGGAGTGATGGTAGTTGTAAAACAAGGAACGCCAAGGTTTGCCAGCAACCATGAGAAGCTAGAAGAGGCGAGGAAGGATTCTCCCTTACAGATTTCGGAGTGACCCTGAGGACACCTTGATTCAGACTTCTAGCCTCCAGAACTGTGAAACAGTAAATATCTGTTGTTTTAAGCCATACAGTTTGCAGTACTTTGTTACACGCAATAGAGAACCTCACACGGATTTTTGCATGAGAGAAAAAGAAACTACCTTGTGTGAGCAGCTTTAACACGGGTATTCTAGGACCCACAGGCAAACCTAATCCTAATCACCAGAGGAGGCAACTGAAAGAAGCAGGTGAAAATGATTGAGAAGGAAAACAACACATAAATAAGGAAAACAACCACTCTATAAAACTGTAAACATCCTTTAAGTCCTTAAAATCCTTGTCTACGACGACACAAAGCTACAAATTTGACTGTAACGTTCTACTTCAAAAGAACAACTGGTAAAAATTGAACATGAAAACAACTTCTGTGTAGGAAAAGCAAAATGCATTCCTATGCATTTCTCTGAAAGACCCAGCTAACAGGAGACAGATTGCTCATTTGTTCCTCCACTCATCCAGGCTCAGAGAACCTTAAACTTGGGCACGGCTATTCCTGCCTGTCCCAAGCCCAGGTCTAGCAAGGAGGCAGAAAGGACAGACTGAGAAGACGGTGAGAGCTCCTTTACAGGCTTGAAACACACCACAGCCTGAATTCTTTTCTCCACACCACCTCTCCCATAGTCAACCAGACACCATCTCCTGCCCATCTGCCGCAATTCATCTCTCTCCCCAGTTCCCCAGTCCTCTTGAAATAACATCATTTCAGAATCTCACTTCCTACCAATTGTTTGAAATTCTGATACAATACTGATTTTTTTTGCTGTCTCCCTATCCTTTCCAGTTCCTTCCCCAGCACTCCCCAACACTGCGGAACCTACGCCAAACACCACTCCCTGTTGATCTCCTTAAGACGCCTCTGAAAACGTCCACCATGCTTAAAACCCTTCAGTGACCCATCAGCACCTAAGTCCAGGCTCCAAAGTGGCCTCTGCCTGTTTCCCCTGAGGACCAAACCCAATCACCCTTCTAGGCCCATCTCAAATGCTAATGCTCCTGGGAACCAGCTCAGGATGGCCGCAGCTGCCACTGCCCTCCTACCTCTGAATCCCCAGAGGGGCACTAAGTCATGTAGAGGGTAGACACTATGGCATTCACCCACTTACAAACACGGTCCCAACTCCAGCTATGCTGAGCCTCGCAGAGTCAGCACATCACAGATATCTGCTAAAGGGATGAACAGACCATACGGTTGGTTCAAGTTAGTCAAACCATTGACCACTTCGCTACAGCCTTACAGAGTTTAATACAGCAACGAGCAAAAGGTTATGTTATGAATCTTGTCTAGACAGAATAAAATTTCTATTTTAGCTTAAGCACATTACCAAGACATAAAGTTCTATATTCAGTGTGTGTATAACAGAAAAAGAACTCCCCACCTTGAAAAAAGAAAAGAAAGAAAGAAAAACTATGCCCAAAGTGAGGCAGTAAATCTATTGAGCATTTGCCCGTAAGCAATAGGTCTGAATGGAGAAAGAAGTCACAATCTCCAGTGGTTAAATAAGACTCCATTCAACACACGAACAGCTTGTAAAGGTGCCAGAAGCGCTCGCTGGATTTTTCTCTTGTGCTCGGGCTGATGCAAAAGCTAAAATTAAATTGCCATTAGAGCCATGAAGTGCATACCCAGAACAGGCCATGCGGGAAAGTATCAGACGTCAGAACTCGAGCCAAAAAAACTGACTTCCGAGTGGCTGGTAGGCAAAAACCTAAGCAGCTTTGTGAACAATATAACCTCAGAGACACATTTTACTCGATGCAGGAGTTGCCGAAGACTTTCATTGCTTTGAAGTTAAGACAAGATCTTTTATAATCCTATTGGACCCGTTGAATGCCAACACCATCAGTCCTCTTTCCTTACTTACAGAAAAATAGAGCGAACTTCTTGAGCCTGTAACTTCACAATAAATCATTCATTTTCTGTGCATGGAAAAATGGAAACTGAAAAGCATGTGTGAAAAAGAGGACACTACACTAGAAAGCCCACATATAGGTGTGCCCCATGGGAATGGACCACAACACCAGCTCAAAGGTGGAAAGCTATGGTGGATTTACTTCCTAGGGTTCCCAAACATGATCTTACTGGAAATCATGCAAGATGGCCCGCCCAATCTGCTGAGCCCCAGGCTGCAGAAGACTGTCGCAGCGTGCTTTAAGATGACAGTGTTCTCTAAACTCTACGTGCCTACTAAGCCTCTGGCTCATCTATGGTCAGGGCCAAATCTTGCCTAATTCAGTATAATTCAGCCGACCTTTCCTTCCTCTCCTGCTGACATTTTCACCTTCTAATTGCACATTAACACATCTATGTGAGAGGCAGGGAAAGGAAGAGAACCTCAGATCAGTTCATTAAATTCACTGCCTACCGTCTCTCAGATAATAGGAAAGAAGGTTGAATCAATGCCCATCAGTGGGTCTTATGGCAAAGACATGGGTATTTGAAAAGCCTCAGACTTCAAAACCAAAATCATGCCCTTCTCCTCCCCAAATAAGGTCCTTTTCTAATATTCCATATTTCAATGAATCCAGGTGATTTTTTTTTTCTTGAGGAAGATTCACCCCGAGCTAACATCGGTGCCAATCTTCCTGTTTTTTAGTAAGCAGGCTGCCAGCACAGCATGGCCGCTACCAGAGTGGTGTAGGTCTGCACCCAGAGAACTGAACCCAGGCCACTGAAGCAGAGCTCACTGATCTTAACCCCTAGGCCATCAGGGCTAGCCCCCCGGTGATTTTTGCAGCCAAAAAACCCAAAGCACTCTATGATTCTTCCTTCTGCCAAACCTTTCCCCACCCTCCATACCCAACTCAGGACGTGCTCTTTCTGGCCAAGTCTATTTCACCCTAATCCAAATCCCATATCTTGCTCCTGGACTACTCACTGCACTAGCCTCTTGACGCCATGTCCCCACCTCTACGCTGAATTCCCACCGCCACCCCCTGACCCACTCCCCAGGCTGCAGCCAGGGTGAGCTCGGAAAATCTAAACCACTCAGTGTTGTCCGTAG